TATATCTTCTGTATACATATGCTTTATATGTGTAGTATATTTATATTTTTTTTGGTTGTTTGTGTAGTTGCAAATATATATTCTGTATATTTTTCGTATATATACTAATTATATTTTTCGTATGTACATAAAAATATTTGATGTATATTTTCTGTATATCTTCTGTATATATATGCTTTATATGTATAATATATTTATACTTTGTTTTTGTTTGTATTGTTGCAAATATAATACTGTATATTTTTCGTATATATCAGGATTTATTTTCTTTTCCATGTTGGTTTTTATCTTTTTTATCTTCACGTGAAAAGCACTTTCATAACAACTGATAGGTTACAACTGTTCAGATTTTGTAACTGCATCTGGCATATCTGCAATTATTTCATCCCTATTTTATAGGAATGCAATACAATAACATTCTATGGTATTTTTATAAATACTTTATTTGCGCTAAGTATATATAAAATTTCGCCTAAATGTACTACATAAATAAAACTCATATGTAAGTATTAGCAAATATACAAAATTTGACATAATTAATTACAAATTTAGCAGATTTATAAAAAATGATTAATTTAAAGATACAGTTAATATTCAAAATTAAAGGTTTCTCTCTCTTCTGTTGGGTTCGCTATACTGTACGGATTAAAATCGCAGCGGAAATTATATAATATAATTTTAATTTATCAAATAAATACTTAATCCGTAAGTACATATAGTGAAAAAAAATGATCAGCATCATTTAAAATCACGTAAAAATACGAATTTTGATTTGTAGAAAATTACAAAAATTACCTTTAGTTTTCTTAGTAAAGTGACGACGGAGAGAAAATCAATTCCCGGTTATGTGACTATCACCGTCTTCTTACTCCTTAAGGAATTCAAGTGTCTCCCCTCTAATCAAGTCCACCCATTTGGAGCAATTTCTTCGCTAGTAGAAATTTTTCGGAATTAAATCGGTATTTAGAAATCAAATAAAAGAGGAGATTTTTTTTAAAAAAAAAAAAAAAAAATCGCCGAAAATCAATGCTGGGAAACTTTTTCCCTTTCAACAATTGTTCAACTTGGGAGAACAAGTTCTTTTTATTTTAAATTGCCGAATGCAATTAATAAAAATGGGAGAACTTCTCTTCTTTTTCTTCTTAAGTTCATCTCATGAACATATACATATATATACTTAAATATTATGAATATAAAATTGAGCATGAGTTGTCATATTCTCCCAATCAATTAGGATTAGATGGCATATTTCTCCTAATTCATTTTAATAATGAATATAATAATTATTAGGTGGAATACACCTAATGCCCAACTTTTAGTTTAATACTAGTGCGTACCTCGTGCGATGCACGAGACAGAAATATTAAATGAGTTATTTTCACATGCTTAATTTGTCCGTTTAAGTATATAAAGCAATAAGATTATCATCTATTTTTTATCTTTTTTAATCAACGATAAGTATAATAAACAATAAGGTTATAATATATTTTGCACCTCTTTTAATCAACGTTATTTTTTAGTCAAAATATTAAAATAATTAATATATTATTTCACTAACACATTTATCCTAATTTAAATTTGATTTTAGTAAATATATTTATTCCTTGATATAAGAGAGAATAAAAATTTTTCCTATTCTTGTTCGCCATATAATACTTAATTATTATTTTATTAAACACTTTATGTCATATAATGTCATTATCATTTATAAAGTTGTAGAAGTTGTACGTCTTCTTTTTATTTTTATTTTATGTAATAAAAAATATTTAATGCATGTCGGTATTATTTATTTATATAATCAATTTAAAATATGTAAATAAATTTAATATTAAATAGTCTCGGGCCGGATTGACTACAGGATCGGATCCTCAGTCAAAAGTATTCTTAAAAGAAATTCCCAGGCATTGGTTACAGACAGGACAGTAGAACCTGAAAGAAGTGAAGTAATCAAAATTCGGAGGAAATATTGAGTCTGGACAAACCGGTGGACGAGGATGGACGAAGTTCAGGTTAGTGGATAAATATGTTACAAAATATACACATATTTTTTTAGAATTTAATTATGTATACTAATTAAACAACTTTGATTTAGAAAATTCCAAAAACTCGCCCCTCTATGATCAAGATTTTTCTAATTCACATTATAAGGATTTATGGTTTATTTAGCGTATTCAACAATGAAAATATATTTTACAAGAATTTAATTATAGAAATAAATCAAAATAAAAAAAAATAATCATGGGTGCTAATAATATACAAATAAATTCTAAACAATAGTTAATACATTTCAATTTTAATTTTGTACCATTAGTAAAATTATTTATTGTATCTGGTCATTATCTCTTAAATGGTAAATTATATTAATTTGAAGAACAATTTATTTTTTATATATAACAAAATAAAGCTTAAGAAACAAATATATTGACAAAGATTAATTCACCAACTTGATTTTGTCTGATTACGTGGAAAAAAAATTCTACCTGACATGCTACGATTTTCCATAAATATTTTTGGATAAAAAGTGAATATTTGTGAAAAAAAATTAATATTATGGTTAGAACTTAAAATATGGTGTAATATTATCTTGACCAAAATATTATCAACATGGATCACATAAATTAATCTTGTAATTTATTATAATGAATATCAATGAAAGTATTACAAATATTAATAAAATAATATTTATTTTGACCAAAATATTATCAACATGAATCACGAAAATCAATCTTGTAATTTATTATAATAAATATCAATAAAAATACTGCAGATACTAATAAATTTATTTAAGTAATTATTTTATCATATTTAATTTTATCTTATTTAAAAACGTGTAAATAGAAGCAATTAATGCATATATTTAAAAAAATTTCCAAAAATAGTATGCATTAAATGTTTCCTAATTTTTTGCTACTATTTTTAGTAAATGGTAATTCTTTTTATATATAGATAGATCATTTTAAACTTTAATCTTAATTAAATATTAATTAAAAATAATGATATATATAATTTATGAAACTAATTTTCAAAATTAACTAATCAAAATCTTATCTCCCATAAAATCTCCTCTTTTATGTATGCATTTAATATATAGTCATATTAATATTTTGGATTTGAATTTTAAAGTCCAACTTTAAAATCTAACTATTAATTTAGTAATTCCAATAATTACTTAATTAATATCCAAAGCCTAATTAATCAATCCAATTGATTAATTTATTTCATTCATTTAATTGACATCTAATCAAAATTAGATTTTAAATTAAATAATCAAATTATTTAATTAAGACTTGTCAATTAATCCAACTATTGGAAATACCAATTTCATAATGTCATCATCCAAAATTTGGTGTGACCCTTTTAGGTTCACAATTAACACTAGTAGTGGGTTTACAACTAGTTTGTAATTTAAATTAATCTAATTAATTTATATGTTGAAATTAACTCCTTACTTTCAAGAACCCACAAATCATGAGAACATCTAGCAAGTAGCATGATTATCTAGTGTTAAGTGAAATAGCGAGTAAACCTTTTCGATATAATGCATACATGTAAAATCCTTTCGATAACTAATTTCCCGATTAAATCTTGGGTATGGTTTTTAGTCGAAACCCATTTGATTTAATCACTATGATTCCATTTCAAATTTAGTGATTCCTTTATGAATCCATATTCATCTTGCTTTGGCCAAGGTCTTTGAATCAAAAACTATGAAAAACATAGGAAATTCACTTATCTACATAAGTGTCGAATTCTTTATTGGCCACTGATAAACCTCCATACATATTAATACAATACCCAAAATATCCCTTTTATGATTATCCAGTAATCAAAGGATAAATCAAAGTAAAGTATAACATGCACAAGATTACTATCGTGCCTCAAGTTAAAGGATCAGTCATGTACTATTACAACATAAAAATTCTTATTCGACAGTAAAACTTCCATTTAAGAATTTTCATACGGTCATGCTCAGTGAACTTGTTCCCTAACAAGCACCCACATATATGTATTTGCGTCCAAAGCTAATGTTGATGGAATGCAACATTCTTGTCCAACAAGCATACATCATATGTGCAAGTCTTACCGGATTATTCGATATCCCATCTCGAAATACCCATCGACTTGGAACTTTATTTAAGATCACAGCTTTCAAGGCATGTTCCATTATTACCATCCAGTGCGTAACCACACCTTATAGCTATTAATAATCTAGGGACTTTATCATATGTTCAAATATATGCAAATACATAAGATAAAATAGTGCCTTTTATTAATATAAATTCCAATAAATTATTTTTTACAAGTAGAATGTATCCAATCTAATTTAAACGTTGGGTATTCTACTCTAACATCTTCCCCTCTCTCTACTTCTCCTCCTTCTCTCTCGCTCTCTCCGTTCTTTTTCTCTCGATCCGTCGAAGACGGTGATATCACTGAATCTTTCAACCAATAAAACCTTTCTAACCAATTCTTATTTCTCTACTCACTGTCGTTTTTCAAACCCCACCTTCAAATTCAATATACAAATACCTTACTACGCATGTTTTTAGGGAAAAATTCAAAATTAGTCCCACAGGTATAGGGAGGTGACATTTTTGGTCCCAACGGAATCCAGAAAATATTAATAGTCCCGCAACTTTTAAAAAATGATCAAAAGTAGGACTTTTTTCAATTTTTCGGCCCGAAATGCCACGTGGCCACATTCATCTGACGTGGCTTAGTACAATGGCAAGGAAAAAAATCAAAACTAGTCCCACAGGTTTTGGGAGGTGACATATTTGGTCCCAAAAGAATCCATAAAATCTTAAATAGTCCCGCCACGTGTGTGCCACGTGGCATTCCGGGCCAGAAAATTAAAAAAGTCCTACTTTTGATTATTTTTCAAAAGCTGCGGGACTATTAATATTTTTTGAATTCTGTTGGGACCAAAAATGTCACCCCCCTATACCTGTGGGACTAGTTTTGAAATTTTCCCCATGTTTTTATACTGCTGCACAAGAATGACTATGTCTTTGGGCGTCTTTTCGAGTATCTTTCTGGCTAACATGGCGTCGCTGGCAAGGTTATCTCCTACGACCGTCCGGCTTGTCCCACGCGCACGGTGACGATCGTTGCCGGCGAAGAAACCCATACGAAGATTTTCAGGGGCCGGCAAAGGTGATTTTCAGCGGTCGGCGGAGCAAGCCCGACGTTGAGGTAGTTGGTGAAGAAGGGTAGTCGCGTGGATTTTGTGGTTAGGTTTTAGTTGAGCGGAGGACTAGACCAGACGGTATATATGTTGTATATTTATACTTTTGTTGTTGTTTGCGTAGTTGCAGATATATGTTATGTATATGTTCTGTATATATGTTTTGTAATCGCGTATATTATGTATATTTTTTCAATGGGCGTTTATGTATATATTTAGTATATATGTTTTTGTAATTGTGTATATTATGCATATTTTTTCGATGGGCGTTTATAACAGCAAGATGATTGGTTTTTGTCATCGTGTATGTTCTGTATATTTCAGATCGTGTCTTTTTTGTAGATATTTTTTTTTTCAATCTATAGAGTATATTTGTTGTATATTTTATGTATATATGTTGTATATAAATCCAGACCTATTTTTGTTTTGTATACATCACATAACACGGATGTCTTATTTTTATTTTGTATACATCACATATTGTATATTCTACCGAACTATTTCTTGATCATGGAAGAAATAATGTCGCTCTAGATTTTTCTTTGGTATATTGCTTTGGAAGATGATGACGTTATGTTTTTCTCTCTCTTAAGAACGAAAGAGCTGCTTAAATTAAGGGCATCAGTTATCTTTTATTAGGTAACTGATATCTTATGCAAATATGCAAATATTTTGTCCTATAACTGCTATATATGCAATAAAAAGTTTTTCAGTCGCAAATCTGTCATATTCTGTCTATCGGGTGGGATAGATGTAAATTGGCCATAAAACTGTTATTAGGGCTCCCATCTGCTCAGCTGTCACCACGCCGCTCGTCACTACGCATCGGCCATCACTCGCCCGTCAACTTCAGTCCATCGCCAAACCTCTCAGCAAAAATGGGTAAGAGTTAGAACTACACAGATGAAGATTATGTCAATTTCTGCTCGGATATATGGACTAATTGTTGTACCTTCCGTACTGATTATTGTACATTTCTTTGCAGCTCGGATTAAGGTGCACGAGCTCCGGCAAAAGAGCAAGGCGGACCTGCTGCAGCAGCTGAAGGAGCTCAAGGCGGAGCTCTCGCTGCTGCGCGTGGTGAAGGTCACCGGCGGCACCCCAACAAGCTGTCGAAGATTGTAAAATCTCGAGCTCACAGAGTGTGAAGCTAAGATATTTTCATTTCACGTAAAAACAAAATTACAGGCGATAGGCCTATTTATTTACATGCAGTACAATAGAACGACGTCGTATGCTCATTAACCTAATGTATATCCAAACGACGTCGTTCGCATTACTAAAACGCAGCTCTGAAATAAAAAACGCAACACGTGTTCTGTCAAAAGAAAAAAGAAAAAGCAAATCGAGCAGTTATAACTGCATTATTCAAATATATCAGAAATATGAAATATGCAATGCACTGTGTTCCATATAAGCTCCCTTCACGATCCAAGCTTATTCTTCTACACCCCCTCCTTAAGGTGGAGTGGGGAAGGAGTCGACACACCCAACTTGCACAACCAGCGATGGAACACAGGTGAAGGAAGCAATTTAGTGAAGAAATCTGCAATTTGAGCTGAAGAAGGAACATAGGACGGTAAGATGAAACCAGCTTTGAATTTGTCGCGCACAATGTGACAATCAATTTCGAGGTGCTTAGTACGTTCGTGAAAAACAGGGTTCGCCGTGATATGTAATGCGGCATGGTTGTCACACCACATAGTAATAGACAATTGAGGCTGCAGCTGAAATTCCTTAGCCAAACAAAATATCCATTGCAGCTCACACACAGTGGTCCCCATGGCACAATATTCTGCTTCAGCCGAGGATCGAGCAACTGTGACTTGCTTCTTACTTTTCCAAGAGATAAGGCTATCTCCTAAGAACACACAATAGCCAGTGATTGAGCGCCTTGTATCCTTGCAAGTCGCCCAATCCGCAGCACAAAACGCTGTAAGTTCACTACTGGGAGAGTAACTGAAGAACAAACCATGATATGTGGTTCCTTTGAGATACTTGAGGACTGAAATGGCAGCTGCCTAATGATCAGTAGAAGGGTTGTTAACAAATTGGCTAAGTTGTTGTATGGTATAACTCACATCAGGCCGGGTTTAGTTCAAATACAGAAGTCTCCCTATGAGCCTTCTGTATTTATTTGGCTCTTCTAAGGGTTGACCATCAAATCCTGTAAGCCTCAGACCTTGTGGTAAAGGTGTATTGGCCACCTTACAGTCCTGCAAGCCCATGTCACTAAGAATATCATGTATGTATTTTCTTTGGTTCAAGTGCAGTCCTCCATTGACAGCTAAAATCTCAATTTCCAAGAAATATTTGTCAACATCAAGATCTAATATGGTGAAGAGATTGTGGAGATATTCCTTCAGAGCACATGTTTGTTTGTAATCTGACCCCATGACAAGGACATCATCAACATAGACTAGCATGGACATGAAATCTTGTCCTTGTGTCTTAGTGAACAGACAGTGATCCTGATCAGATTGGTGTAATCCAAACTCAAGCAGCCTCTTTGAAAGCTCACAGTTCCACTCTCTTGAGGCTTGTTTCAAGCTATAAAGGCTCTTAATCAGCCTGCAGACTTGACCTTCCCTTCCCTTTTTGTATCCTTGAGGTAACTTCATGTACACTTCTTCTGAAAGATTGCCATGTAAGAAGGCATTATTCACATCCAATTGCCAAATAGGCCATGAGTTTTTGGAGGCTATGGCTATGAATAGTCTGACTGTTACTAGTTTAGCAACTGGTGAAAATACCTCAAAGTAATCCACCCCTTCAACTTGATTGAACCCCTTAGCCACCAGTCTAGCCTTGTACCTCTCTACACTCCCATCAACTTTTCTTTTGATTTTATATACCCACTTTGACCCTATGGCCTTCTTCCCTTTTGGCAGATAGGATAATTCCCATGTATTGTTTTTTTCAAGAGCTTGCAGCTCCATATTCATTGCATCTACCCAGAGGGGATCACTCTTTGCATGTTCATAGTGTGCAGGTTCTTTTCCTTCCTGTAAGTTTGCAAAGAATGCTGCATTTTGTCTAGATACACTTGAGTCAGCTTGGCACACATAGTCTTGCATCCAGGTTGGTTGTTTTCTAATTCTCCTTCCTTGTTGTGTGCTTGCAGTGTTATTTTGCAAAGGCTCCTCACATGCTTCTTCCCTTTCTTCATGTGTGATCTCAGTTTGTGGATTACCAGATGAGTCATGTATCAATAGAATAGGTACTTCACTTTCCCTTTGTCTGTCTTTACCTTTGAAAGGGAACTCATTCACTTTGAAAACTACATCTCTTGAAACAAATCTCCTACCTTCTTCAATGTCAACCAGAACATACCCTTTGCTTCCTCTTGCATAAGCAAGGAGAGCACATTTATGTGATCTTGTCTCTAACTTTCCTTTGTTAGGATTTGTGTTAACTGCATATACTAAGCAACCAAATGGTTTCAGATCATTATATTCTGGTGTCTTCTCATATACTCTTTCAAAGGGTGTTTCATAGCCTGTTGCAACACTGGGCAATCTGTTGATGATATGTGCAGCTGTAACAACTGCATAAGGCCAGTATGTAAGGTCCATACCTGAGTGGAAGATTAATCCTCTTGCTATCTCAAGCAGTTGTTTATGCTTTCTTTCCACCACACCATTTTGTTGTGGTGTGTACACACAACTCTTTTGATGAATGATCCCATAATCTTGAAACATCATTTGAAATGATTGTCCCAGAAATTCTTGTCCATTATCACTCCTAACTTTCTTTACACTCTGGCCAAATTGTGTCTTGATCATAACAATGAATCCTTTGAGCATGTTTGCTGTCTCTGCCTTGCTATTCATGAGAAATACCCAAACTTCTCTGCTGTAGTCATCCACTATAGTCAAAAAGTAGGCAGTCTTAGTAACAGATTCTTCTCTGCATGGGCCCCATATGTCAACATGCAATAGCTCAAAACAGTGTGAGGTTTGAATACTGCTAGATGGAAATGGCAACCTGTGCTGCTTTGCCTTGTAGCATATCTCACAGTCTTTTAGTTCCTTTTCTGCTGTAGCTGTACAATACCCCTTAAGGTGTGGTATCTGTTTCAAAACTCCAAATGATGCATGCCCAAGTATCACATGCCAATTCAGTAATGATGTATTGCTATTGGCACTCAAAGCAAAATTCTCCTTATTGCAGTCTAGAAAATATAGCTTATCCTTTAACACACCATGTCCAACTACCTTCCCTGTGAGTGTGTGTTGCAAGAAGCATCCCTCTGAGGTGAACTCACATCTTAGACTTCACTTTGAACACACCTGTGTCACAGAAAGCAAATTATATTTGAAGGTTGGTACCAGGAGGACCCCATGCAGCACCAAATCATCTGAAATTATGACTTTCCCAACTTTTGTGACCAGTTTGTTTGATCCATCAGGCATGTAAACTGTTATTGGTGAACTTAGTATCACCACATTCTCCATCATGCTCTCATCAATGCACATATGCTTGCTGGCCCCAGTGTCAATTACCCAAGTAGCACTGCTGAGATTATCAAACATAGATAATGCATAATGTCTCTCTTCACTACCTTTATTGCCTGCAAAGTTCACATACTGCTCTTCCTCTTTATAAAGGTTGTTCCCTGTCATGTCAAAAGATCCTTTGCCAAGCAATTTTGCTACCTCCTGAGCTAAAGTAGTAATATCTGGGGTTACAGTGCCTTTTGCTCCTTGAGCCTTCACATTTCCATCAGTTTGCACCATGTTTGCAGTTCCTCTACCCCTCCTATCCTGGGTTTCCTTGAACCACTCTGGGTAACCATGAAGTTTAAAGCAAGTAGATCTTTCATGTCCATTCTTTCCACAATTATCACAGATTAACTTTGCCTTTTCCTCCTTTGACATCCTTTGTCCTTCTCTTGATGTTCTCTGGTTATAACACTGAGGTTTCATGTTTTTTTCTCTCTCAAATGTGCCATGCTTGGCTACCATGGCCACATTAGGATTTGTATCTCCATCGGCTGAGTTCACTGCCCTCTGCCTTTCAGCTGACAAGATCATAGAAGAGGCTTTGTTTACTTTAGGAAGAGGATCCATCATTAACACCTGATTTTTGACATGATCATAACTCTCATTTAGGCCCATCAAAAATTGCATCAACTTCCCCTGCATGTGTTACTCCATTATTGACTTACCAACATCACATTTACACACCAATTGAGGCACTAAGCTACCCAGCTCATCCCACATCCTTTTCAACTTGTTAAAATACATCATAACAGGTTCATTACCTTGTTTATGATTCGCAATATCCCTCTGCAACTTGAAAATCAGAGGTGCATTGCTTTCCCCAAATTGTTGTCCAATTTCATCCCATAGTTCCTTTGTAGACTCATCATATAAGAAACATTCAGCAATATCCGTGGACAAAGAGTTCAAAATCCATGAAATCACCATACAATCCACCTTTTTCCATTTTGTGTATTCACATCATTCTCAGCAGGTACATCAATCGCACCATTAACAAAACCTAATTTTTTTTTTGCACAGAGCGTGATCATCATCGACCGCTTCCAAGCCAAGTAATTGGAACCAGTGAGTGGATGCTGTTGTCATATGATTCTTAACAACGATATAACAAATGATTTAAGTGGTGATTATTAGCGATTTGAACGTAAAGCATGTAAAAGTAACTCAACAATGGCCTCGGTCCGAGGTGGACCGAGGTGAAAAGCCTTTATGGGCTGTTGCGTGTTGCATTTTTTATGAGTTCGGGATCGATCCCTGTACAAGTGTAGTAGGTTAGCTATTTATAGCAACTTTTTACGTACATATTGTGATCTGTGCATTAGCTTTTTCATAAAGCTACTTTTTAGGGGCGGCAGGATCAGTGGGTCCCATTTGAATGATGATAAATCTCGTAACTCGTGATGGGGATGCGTAGGCGCCTTGTCACCTGCATTAGGAGGTAAGACCTTGGTTCGTGTTTGGGAGGTGGGACCTCGGTCTTCGGTAGTTCGGACCGGTTTATTGCTCAGATTAACATGGTTGTGGATCATGCCGGTTCGACAGTTTAATTTCACTCAATATGGTGTTTAAGGCTCTTTGATGATGCTTTGCCGAGTTGGATGATAACAGAGAGGCCCCCAA